AATAATAATAATAATAATAATAATAATAATAATAATAATAATAATAATAATAATAATAATAATAATAATGTACATCGTATTTGTAAAAAGCTTTTTGCATTTAAAACTTAATTTTCATCTTTTCAATTGCATTTACCAAATGGAAGTATATGAGTTGTAATTTAAATGCAAAAATTTTTGGAATATAGATTTTTATTTTTTATTTTTTCCAAACATTTTTACAAAAAGTATCATTGAATCGGGCAAATTTCGTTGCGTTCTCATGCATTACTACTGTTCCGATCTGTATCAAATAAAAAATATGTAAAACAAAATGAAAATAAAAACAAGAAAACAAAAAGAAACCGCTTTAGTCGGCTTTGAAAACAGTAAGAATTAGTTTATTAATAGCAATATTTTGCAGGAAATGCTATCCAATTTTAATACTTACTGACAAAGCGATCCAATTATTAGCCTAAGCAATCTAATGAGACATCGTTCCCTTTGCAAAGTTTTTGTCTATAACTAATGCATTTTAAATGAAAGTGAAAATGATTGTGGTCATTTAGTTTTCAACTTTCCCTTCGTTTTTTGCCTTTTTTCTCGTTTTAGAAACATACAAATTAATGAAAGAATGTTTTTGATTAACTGATAAGAAAAATTATTAGGAATGGGAAAAAAGGGAAAGGGGAAAGAGCAAACAAGTAGAGGCACTAATCATATTATTTGGCTGAAGAAAAAAAAAGCAGTGGAAAATTGCTGCATGATGTAATTAGCAAGCTTAAACATTTGTTTGGAAAAATGAATTTTGAACCGTTAATTGAACTATTTTTTGTCAAAAACTTTTGATTTTTTAATAGAATATCCAAAAAGATCTGAATAGACTAAAGTAGAAGATGCGAAGTTAAAATGTTAACGATACTTGTTTCGCATAGTTCATATAAAATTTAAATAAAATGTTTAAAAAATTCGAAAATTTTTAAAATTAATAATCTATGTAAAATTTATATGGTCATCATGAAATAAGTATCGCTAACAACTAACACTACCCGTTCAATATTGTAATTATTGATAACTGCAAAAGCAGATATGAGAGAATGTTGAAATTTAAGTCAATTATCAATTAAACTTTTCTTTCAGTTTATCAAAAAAATTGGTCTTAGCATTTTTTTTTTCTGCTTTTCATGCTAACTGTGACATATGAAGAAGCATTTGAAACTGTAGGATGCAGTCATTTGTCATTATTACTAATACTTCATAATTTCCAAAAAGTTTTCAGCAATCAATTTTTTTAAAGCTTTGTCATTAAGTTTATTCGACTTAATTACTCCTGCTTATATATAAATATTTTCAAGGTGAGAATGAAATATTTGAAATTGTCTTTTTTCTGATTGCTTCCAATTATACTTTTGGACTTTGTTAATGTAGTTAATTGAGAAAAAAAAATACTTTCCTCACCTATAGCTAATTAAACAAAATCACAACCTTTGCTATTCTATTTATTGTTGCACCTGTTATTATTCTTGTTGTCAACATTATCTTTATGATAATATAGGCAGTATGATATTATCATGAGGTTGGCATTAATTGTATGAAATTGCGAATTCATATTTGTTCCCGGAATGGAAACAAATCAATCATTCGGCTTAAATGTCTTTTAGTTTTCAAATTTCATGGTTTGGAGTTTTTACAGCAAGCGGCTAATATTTAAAGCAACTTTCTCGAAATTCATCTTCTCCCAACTATAAACTGTAATCAAACAGCATCACTAGAACATTGATTGTTTCGCTTGGAATTGCTTTTCTAAAATTTTATTGTTGCTAAATTTTGGAGTGGGATCTGTTTATTTTGGAGTGGGTTCTGTTTATTTTGGAGTGGGATTTGTTTATTTTGGAGTGGGATCTGTTCATTTTAATGCTCTCTTAAACTAATTTTGAAAAATGGTTATTTATTTGTTCTTTTTTTTTTTTAAATAATTTGATTTTACGATAGTAAATAAGATTAACACAGACGGACGTCATTTGATTAGTCGTTTGTTTACTTCAACTCATAAATTAAACTTTTATACTTATCCCTTGTGTTACATGAATACATTTCTCATTTGTTTACAAATTCATTGAGTAAAACTCTTATAAAACTGAAAAAAAATCGTAAAAATAAAATCAAAAATTGCGGTAAGCATACGATCAAAGATAAAACCGATAATTACTCTGATACCTACAAAAGATTTTTTTGGAATTTAATAACAAAAAGTACAATGTCAATATCAAAGAAGTCGCATTTGCTTCTTTAGTTTTCAATCTCATTAAATTTCGCTTGTTGATGTTAGTGGCTGATATACAGGTGCAACATTCGCTATTTTCATTTTCAAAAATTAATACGGCAACTTACACTTCATTTAATATAAATGCATTTTTAGCCAATATCTTTTGCATTGGTAATCTTATTTATTGCAAATAAATTCGTGATAACAAAATGAATAAAACTTTTGTATGTCATTTTGAGAGATAAATGATAATACTGTGAGGAATGAAGAAGGTGATATCAGCAGTGATTAGGTTATAATAACATGACTATATGATCTAAAGTAACTGATTTTTCTTGATATTTACACGTGTTAAGAGATATTTTGATGAATGTTCATTGTGAATTACAAAATTTAATCAGACTTGCGAACACTGTGAATTACAATTTAATTTTTTTCTTGTCACTGTGAATTACAATTTAATCAGACTTGCAACAGAAAGGAAGCAAATATAGCTTCATCAACACTTTATTTTTTGCCAATGAAGTTCAAAAAAAAAAATTTCTTGGCTATGATATGTAGTCATTTTTTTAAAAGTGTGATAGTAATTACTGGCCTTGTTTGTCCATCACAACTTTCGATTTTTCCACCACGATTCTTTTTTTTTCAACGTTGTAAAAGTCCTGCTTATTGAATTTGTAAGCAAAGTGCATAATTCAAATAACTGGATGCATTTATGTGTCAAAAGGAATAAGTATAAAATTTTAAGCTATGTAATGGAGTAAACAAAACGATTGATCAAATTATGCCCATCCGTGGTAACTTTATTTACTGTTATGAAATTTGAATAGTATTTAAAGAAAGTAAACAACCGCAAGTTGATTAAAATTGATTTTCAAAAAACATTAAAAAGAACTGGCCATATTCCGACTTTGCAGTATCATAATATTTAACAATAATTAAGAAATCTGCAGCACAATTTGAGCTGTAGGACTTTCAATTAATTTAGGTCATGTGTATGGAGTGGAATTGAAGAAATGAAAGGACTTCGTTGAGGAAATGACTAATAAGTACTGTCTGAATAATCTGTCTAAGAAAACGGAAAATCAAATCTGGAAGAAATGGTCACTTATATTATTTGGAAAACGTTATTATCATGCAAAAATGTTGTAATCACTTTGAAGCATTCAGTGTTACATCATTTTTAGAAATCGGAAAATTATTTCCAACGTGATGATATGCCGTTGTTTTTGTTCGAAATCAGAGACAGCTGATTCTCATGATCTCCCAGCGACATCCATCGTGAAGGCGCAAAATTTTGAGAAAGATAATGACCCACGAATACAGTTAACTCAGAAGCAAATATATGTGTTGACAAAAAATTGGAAAGGTATCGACCGGAAAGTTTGTGAAGCGGGCGTTGAAATGTTCTTGAAGTAAGTTTTGAATTTTTTTTTTCTCATCACTAACAATATCGTCAACATTATGTCGAACATTTTGATGGAACACTGTTAAACACTCATCAAATCGTATTTTCTTCAATTTACCCGACTGTATTGTAATGTATCCCCGCACTTCCTTTTTTTCCTCCTTTCCCCTCCTTCCCTGATATATCAGAATATCCTCATCTCATTTATACTACCCATATCCATAAATGTTTTTTCCCTATAATTGTATTTATAACTGCAAATTTTCTTCCCATTATAGAAACGATAGTAATAGAATGCACGATTATTTTCTTGTAGATATATAATTAAAACCAAAAATAGTAATATATTTAATCTTAACCATTACTCATTTACCTCTAATACATCCCGTTATTCTTTACTGAAAGCATCTAAACCTCAACCGTTTCTAGCTTATCCATATTACATTCTGTTATCCTCAGAATCCAACAGCCATTTTTCTCCACCATATATCTATACCCCGCACCTATTAACTGTATCTTTACACTTAAACTACACCTCTGAATATTGAGATGATTCCGCAAAAAAAATTTGAGTGTAATATAAACGTCAAATATTTCTAGTGCACAAATTTCAGGTTACTCTCATTACATCCGGAATACTATAAAATGTTTCCATTTCACAGAATTGCCACTTCAAGCGACGAGAAAAAACGGATGGATGAATGTCTAAGGGCGCACGGTGAAACTGTAATGAAATCCCTTGGTCAAGCCATCTCGTTAGTCATGTCATTTTCTATCCATTGTCAGACTGATGCGTGATCAAACCCACAATTCATGTCAAAGTATTAATCTATTATGATCAACCATAATGGTGTACCGTAATTCTGAGTTATATTTTGAAATTTCAAAATTATACATCTTATTATCAATGCAATCCAATTTATTACACAATGATAACTTCAGTAACATTGGAAATTCCGAGAAATTTTTCGAATTGATCGACCAAATTGGTCGTTCCCATGCGCACAAGAAATATTTCAAGCCGGAATTATTTTGGGTAATTTGATTGTTATCAATTATAACAATGCTGAAAAACGAAGATTATCGTTGTTTTAAGCTATAATGGATGTAGTTTTGATAAAGTATGATAGAAGATAAGCAATAATGATGAAGGCGTTATTGATATCGATAATGATGCAGTAACTAAAATCATTATTTCGGTATAGTGATTTCGATCATTAGGTATTTCGGTGCAATGTGTTTCAACTTGGCAATTCATCATCATTCCTTTGCATAAATATCAGTTATTCTATTTTGCCATTTTAATCCCTAAATGATCAATTTATGAAGAAAAAAAACGGCTCATTTATTTATAACTCTTAAGCTAATGGAGGAACCATTCCTGTATTCGCTGAAACTAATATTGGGTGAGCGTTGCACGGATAATATGCATTCAATCTACAAAACAGTGATAACAATAATACTATCAGAAATGGAAAAAGGCTGCGAAAGTGAAATGAGAGGGATGCAAAAAGTGGAAGATTAATTCTACAACAAATCTTATATATTAATTAGTAATCGATTAATTAGTGTAGTGATTTTGTTCTTATTACACTTGTTCATTTTGTTATTTTCATTTTTAACATTTTTTGAAGTAACAAAATAATAATGCTAAAAATATTGATAAAATATATTGTTATAAACTCAAAGTATTCAAAACCATTTTAAATATCAAACTTTTTGGATCTAAAATCTCGGTTTCCAACTAGTTTTATTCATCTGCAAGAAATGATAAACCTATGGAATAATGTCTCGCATATTTTTCATTTTATTGTTGCATCACGCATGTCATCTTGAATGCAAGTAGATCTATCATTTGTGTTGAAGTAAGCAAAGATAATAGTACGTATGTCAAAATTAGTCTTAAAATGATGCAAATTCTCGTTATTTTCTGCAATACTTTTAAAAAATATTCTGAATATTCAGAAAATTTGAAGTTTAAATTACTGCCAAGCCCGAATTTCTTGATATTATAAATATTATAATTCTTGATATGAAAAATTCTTATCCTTGGAACATTTATTCTGATAAAATGAACGTTTGCTTTCTTTCATTTTTTCCGTTTCCAGTTTTCTCTTAAACATTTCATCGTATATTTTTATGTTTTGCTCAAATTATCAGAAAATGGTCTTTCTGTAAATGATGATTCGCTGATATTTTTAACAACCTTTCTAACATGCTTTGATGTTTTCTGGCATACATTCTCTCCAACTTTTCGTTTCGATGAAGTTTTTAAGTTAGATGAAATTTTTGAATTTCTGACCTTCATTAATTAATGATGATTAGGTCAAATATCAACGATCAAATATCACTCAGGTCATACGTTTTCAACAAGAATTTTTATTGCTGCCAATGTTAGCATAGTCAATTTGATTACAAGGGATTAAATATTTACAATGAATAATCTCTAATGGCCATATGCAGCATTTCTTGCAGGTCCGTGAAATAAATCAATACTTTGTTTTTTAGACAACATGAAAGAGGACTTTGTCAATAGAGGGTGGTGTAATAAAACAGCTACTCTCCTCTTCTTGTTATTAATTAATCGATATTTAATTTAAAAAGCTTAAAATAAAAAAGGGAATCAAATAGTGAGCTGGTTTTGACAAGAAAATGCGATTTAATGCGCTAATGGTTTATAAAGTTCGTGAAAGATTTAGGCGTAAAAGTCAAGTGTAGTATGACATATATTGTTCATCCATTTAAAATTATTCTTTGGAAAGCAGAAAGGCGCAAATGTATGGTCAAGCAGGAAATTTTATTTCTACAAAAGCATCATTTGAAGAAGGAGATAGCTGTACTTGTAACGCATTCCTTGATTTTATAATTCAGAATAAATTATAAATGATTCGAATTTTCTAACAATTAAGTTAAATGAATTATAATCATTAAAATGGAATATATGTTGCATAAGTTTTAATGCATATTCTTTTTTGAAACTTATTTCAAATTTAGTTTTCATAGGAGACCTTCTTGAATTTTGATTTTGAAAGACCAATGTTAATTAATCTTTTTAACAACGACTTTTGATTTTCAAGCAACTCATTGCAAATTTACGCTATGTCGGGAAACCATATTGGGAACTTATTGGGACTTCATAAACTTTGCATTATTCGTTTATTTCTGAAAGATAAAAGAAATAACTATCGTTTTTTTATAGGTATAATGATAAAACTGTAATTTGTGCTAAATTTAATTTTCCCTTTTTCTAAAGTCCAGCAAAAGATATAAGTTAGAGAAAATTGAAAGCTGTATGGATTGAACTTGGGAATTTTACAGTATATTGAATTTAAAAAAGCAAGAAAAAAAGTATCAGTAATTGTTGTTTGCTGCATTGTTGGTCATTTGCGCTCAATTTATTTTAATTATTATTTGTTGAAAATACGAAGGATTAAAAATAAGTTTGCATAAGTGCTTTATTTATTAGACTTTTTTCAATTTTGAATTTAGCTTAGTTACAACAGAAAAAAGAAGTTATAGGGGAAATTTTGGAAATAAAGTCTAAATAAGTTGACCTATCCTATATTAACTATTTTTGTCTAACCATTTATCGTTAACAAACTACATAATAATGATGTAATGATGTGAAATAAGCTAATGGAAACTAACTAACAAATCTTAACAAAAACTTGATATCAATTAGCAATGAAAATGATATGAAATGAACCGAACCTTGTTGTACATATATATTATCGATTACTATGATTTGATTTGAAATTAATCGTAAAATCCTTTTTATACTATCTAAGAAAACTGTAAGAGTGCTATGGTAGAATTACAACAAAATTTTTTGGACTATTAATAAAACTACAAAATTACTGTCTTGTTTTCAACCAGTAGTATTTGCTTGAATAAGTTAGTTTCAAAACCATAAATTTATAATCCATTGATATCATGCTATGCTAAATGACGCTTAGCATTGGAAGTTTAATGTGAATTTAGAATAACTTATTAATCAGAGAAATGAAACTAATATTTAAAATCTAAAAGTTTAGAAAATCGTTTGCATTGTTATTTAAGAGTTTCCCTCAGCAAGTCATTTTTTCATCTTTCCTGGTAAATGCAGATTTATGCACGTATCATTTAGCGTAAGCAATTTCATTAATTAATCCACGTTTACAAATAAAATTCCATTCCGCGGAACATTTCCCGTTAATTATGTTACCAGTATAGTAGAAGTTCATTGTAATCGATATTGATTTATTTTTATTCTCAATCATTTACATACATTTCAATAAATTTCCCTATTTAACAGATTGTTAGTTAAAGTTTGTCAAACTAATCATAGTTGCACTGAGAAAGAGTGACATGGAGAGATTTATTACTTATTTTACTGTTCTGTCAATGGTTTTTTTTATTTCGAAATTTCCTTTTTCATTCCACTTTTTTTCTCTCATTTTTTAAAGAAAAAAGACTGATGGGAAAACTAAATCAACACCAAACAACTCTACAAAAAAAAAAAATCTATTTTAATCAAACCTATTTTTATTTCTTTAAAATCAAAACCAAATTTATTTTTTATTTTTTCTAAGTAAAATATGCGGGAGAAAAAACAGCTCAAGGTCGTTTGCAACATGAATTAACGATACTTTAAAATTTTGTTTTTAATTGTGACAGAGACTTGTTTTTGATTTATTTTAAGTATTATCTGTTGTTTTACACACCTAAAGTGCTGGAAATTGTCAGCTATGATATCAGAAATATTGGAGAAATAATATTGGATTTCCCTTAACAGCTATAAATCTATAAATGAGATGTGACAAGTGCGCTATGACGTACCAAAACAAAAATCCACTCGCAATGACTTTTTTATTGCGGCAGAATTCGCTCAAACGTTGCATGCATCGATTTTAATTAACTGACGAAATTTATTCATTACTAAAAAATTGATCTTAAAAAGAATTAACTTTTTTCAACAAACATAAATTTGTATAACTTGCATTGTGAGCAAAATATTCACTCAAATATGTATTAAAAAAATTTAAATAAATTCAGAATTAATGCATGCATAGAGTACCTTTCGAATATAAATTGTAAATGTGGAAATGCTTAGAAATATTCATTTTAATATAAAAGAAAAATTAAAATTTTTTCTTCCTTAAATTTAAATGATCTCTAACCAATTTCAAAAAAAAAGATTCTATCATCATACTTGCTTCGTAGCATTCATAAATAATAAATTTTCATCCAAATTAATCTTGCAGAAAAATTTAATTTTTTTTTGAAAAAGAAGTCAAATAAATTCCAGTAATTTAAATAATAGATAATATCTTAGTCTTCAATAACGGTGTATTTTTCTTCAAAATATCACTACTATAAATAAAGATTTCTCTCGTTCCTTTTTTCTATTTTTCATTTCATTCTTTCATCCATTTTTTAATTTTTTTTTTTTGGTATCCATTCTTTCTGAAAGAATTTATTTGATGAATCAACTGATGAGTGCCGTAAATCATCGGGATCATCCAAAAGGAGTTCCTGACTTTACTTAATATAGGAAAATTTCCAGCACTGACGGACATTATAAAATTTCAAATGTTTACCAGTAATCATTCCGTTCAGTGTCTCCATTTCGATTAAAAGCAAAACTAATTGTGGTACAACAAACAGATAAAATTTCGATTTGTCATGACAAATTTCTTGCCAAATCTTGAATATATTTAAATTGTGCATGCATGAAGTAAAGCATCAAAGATAAGAAAAGTAGCAGAAAAATTCTGCAAAGTTCTGAAAAGTAAGACGAAAGTTTATTGACGACGCTAATTTATTCAAAAAGCATTTTTAACAAGTAGAAAATGCTATTTTGACTAAATTAGTGCCATTGCATATAATTATGTATAGTATTTATTAAAAATGAAAAAAAAGTTGGAAACTTTTAAAATTTCAATAAAGTTTAGATTTATAAAGGCTATTAAAACTTTTCTTGAACTTGATATTTTCCTTTATTGTGCTAAGAAATAATTTATTTAATTTAAAATTTCGAAGTGAATCTTATTTTATGCACATATCGTGGAAAAAAAATTAAGAGAATTAGGAGATGAGGACTATTGTTCTTGTTAGTAATAAAGCAATTATGTTTTATAAAAAAGTGACTTAATGAATACTGATTGGTTATGTGTTTGAGGAGTATAATAGTTACCCTTTATTGTTGTTCAAATAACAAATACAATAAATATAGGTTAGAACTAATTTCGATTATAGTAGAATGGAGTCCAAATTAATTACGTAGAATAACGGGAGAAATATTGAAGTAGCAATTCGTAAACGGAGAGGAAATAAATCAGGATTGCACTGAGTAGAGTTGAATGGCGACGTGGAGAAAATTAACACTGGATCTTGTTAAAGTTCGTAGGGTTTATATATGGGATGTGTGAAGAGGAACAATTATTACATATTGTACAGTAT